AGGTTTCTCAGAAATTTGAAAGTGCGTTGGCTATCACTTTGATAGTTGATATTTGAGATGAACTTGTCGATGGAAGTCCGTTTAGCTTGTAAGATGGCTTGCCTGAGGACAGCTGATTGTCGCCTCCAGGCTTGTACGTCCTCCGTTCTTTCAGTCTGATCAGCAGTGTTGCTAAGGGCGACCCTCTTTCTTTTCACTTCCTCAAGGTGTTTAGACCAAAACACTCGATAGTGTTTAGTCTTGCCACGAGGAAACAATTTCTTTGCACATCTGATCATTATATTTGTGATATAGTTGCAAAGTTTGTCAGGATGTTGGTTGGAGTTGAGGGGACTTGTGTGAAGTTTATTCTCTAAAAGGTATGTGAATCTAGGCCAGTCAGCCTTCTTGAAGTTCCATGATAGCTTAGTTGGCACTTTCCTTGTCATGCTTTTGCCGCTGATGCGAATGCTAGCAATGAGAGGTTTGTGACCAGAACCAGGATCGTTAATTATTTTGCTGCGTGTAAGCTCACTGATGTCGCTTGAAGCCAAGAGTAAGTCACTGCTCACTGATGTCGCTTGAAGCCAAGAGTAAGTCAGGCGTTGTTCTGGTTCCATTGTAGTGTAAATATGTAGCCAGATCCTCATTGCTGTAAATAAGTTTCAGAGGGTTGCTCTTTAGCATGTCTTCAGTTTCCTTTCAAGCTATGTTTGTATCCTTGCAACCCCATCTGGTGGAATGGGCGTTGAAGTCTCCTAATACTACGGTATTTTGTGAGATGTTCAGAAAGTCAAAGTTGGGACAATTCTGGGGTGGATTATAGACTGCAGATACCTTGAAGTGGTTTTGACATTTCCAAACATTTAATCTGATTATTTCACATATGTCTTGTGTCGAGCCCATACTCTTGATTAGATCGTGGTGTGAGGTGAGGCCTTCAATTACTCCAGTTAGAATTCCACTTACAACTTGCCGGTATTTAGGTAGATTGTACAGAGTGTAACCTGGGAATTGGTAGTACTTCCATTTATCATCCGAAATGTTAGCTTCCATAACTGTGAAAATGTCAACATCATAGGTTTGTAGGATTTCCTGGACTTGGATCTTTTTGTCCGGTGACATTCCTCCAGCATTCCACTGGAGGATCTGAAGACGTTGTGATTCGCCCTGATGAGGGCGATTTTTCTTATTGTCTTTTTTCAAGCCGAGTGATAGTTTTTTTTGACGTACGAAGATACGTTGTCCAGGGTGTACCACGTGGATGTAAGTCTATCGCGCACCCCCCAATACACACACATAGAACGTAGGAATTATGATGGGATTATGATGAAAATCCGAATGGTGGAGTTACAAACAAATTTTTGTGTTATTTCGCAGAAAATTCGTTTGAAAATGGTGAAATCTGGAAGCCCCAGGATTCTAAGTGATGGGAAGTTATACTTGCTGTCCAAAAGTGAACTATATGCACAAACCTAATGGAAATTCTTTGTATGGTAATGAATAGAATGTGCACCCGTAATGATCCTCCCTGTATGTAATTGCGGAGGCACAAACCGAACAATAACCATGGAAATATCGTCGTAAATTTAATTTTCTCAATCACCTTCAGATTGGCGTGTGTGAATTCATCGTGGGACGTTTAAGGACGGACGCAGAGACATTTATAAGGCGTCGTGAATGTTAATATCAATCGATTGAGTCGTCACTGCGAAATTAAGCTCTCGAGTCATTGCTTCGAGGAAAATTTCCATCGATTTCCCCATCTTCCCCTACCCCTCCTCTCATTATTTCAACGAAGCGTTACTTGGACCTTGCTTTTCTCAATTTACTACCTCAAATTCCAGTGGACACCCTTCACCATGAGGCCTTTTCCACTTCCCTTTACTTGGTGGCAATAGAATTTGCAAGGAACTCGGTCTCTGGTTGGTCGGACTATTGCATAGCTCCTCAAAAAATTTAATTTAA